AGAGTGGGGTAGAATGAACCTCATTGGCCGGAACTGAGTCACACGGTCTTCCCTAAGCCAGTCACTGGCAAGGAGAGTGGGGTAGAATGACTGGCTTGGCGGGGCCCATGGTGGATGGGGGGCCGTGGGTTTTCCGAGTTAAATCTTAGTCCTCTTGGAAAGGAAGAAGGTGTGCGTATGTTGGGGCAGAAGTGCTGGCGTGTGGTTGGATGGCCAGTAGGCAGCCAGATACTGTTTCCGCAGACCTGGACAAGAGGCAGGTCTCAGGCATGGGCAGGTCCGGGCAGGGCCCTGGGAGGGGGGCGAGGCCAGGAGAGCTCCAGGGAGAGAAGGAGGACCCCGAGGAGGGAGCCTGTGCCGGGGGCGGGATGTCCCGGATGGAGAAGGAGGAGGTCCGGGTCGTTAGGCCTGTACGCCATATCGGGAGTTTGGATTTTACCCAGTGTGGACAGGAAGTGGCTGGAGAGGCCTGACGTGAGCAGGAGGATGAGGGAGCCCTGGGCCGGGGGCCAGCCATCCTGGGGGCCGAGGGCTCACATCCTTGCACACAGAGCCCCAGAGCCCCGGGCAAGTGGAACTCTCTTTTCTACCCTGGATTTGATGCACCATGGGGCTCCGCGCTCATGACCCTACGGTCCCATCTCCAGATACATTAGGGTTTCAACATAAAAATTTCCGGGGGACACAAACATACAGTCCATATATCTGATATAAGTTGTATACAATGTGGTGCACCTCAGGGCTTAGCATTCAACAGGACTGACCTCATTTGAGGTGTTTTAATCGAATTAGTTAAGGCAACATGTACTTTCTTTCAAGGATATGCATGTCCCAGGAGAAAGAAATCAAATGAATTTCTAAGGCCTCTGACTTTGTTACATTCTTAATTTAAGTTTTTCCACTTCGGCCATCCCTCATCGCCTGAAAGATGAGGTGGGTTTCAGTCTGCACAAGCTCCGAAATTTCCTACGCACAGAAAGGGCCTCGCGGTTTCCAAAACAGGTGTGTTCCTGCTGGTGGGATGTGTTTCAAGGTGATTTAAAGTGGGAGTGTGTGGGGAGGTAGAGCAATATACAAGGAGAAACCAGGATTTTCCATAAATGCAGGAGAGTTGAGGTCTATACTGCAGGAGGTGGGATCAGGAACGTTCTAGGGCCGGTGCAGACCAGCTGAGCCGGGGAGAAGGCAGCATGGCCGTCGCTGAGGAGTCCCGTTCTCTTGAGGGAGGTCTGCAGTTGCCGCTGAGCCCAGCGGCAGTCAGGGGTCTTAGGGTCTGTCTCCCAGTGAGCGCTCCAGTGGGGCTCCCACCCCTTTCCGAGTACCTGAAGGAAGGGCAGCTGGGCCCGACACCATGTCAGCATCACAGGATTTTAAAATAAGAACGTGGTCCCCTATTCCATTTCTGCTCTAATTGAAGATTTTGTTCTGATTGCTCTCTTCACAATTCTGGGCACAATCATGTAGACTTACATTCCTCGGGCACACCCCGGAAGACAGCTGATTTGCTTGGTTCATCGTGTTTCTTCTCCCTGTTGCTGAAGGGCATGGACTGCAGGTGGCTCAGTCCTCACAGGATGGGCAGGGGGCCCCATGCATGGAGCCAGCCCGACGCGGTCGCCCTCCAGCACCCTGTTCATTGCTCTGAGGCCCTGGGTTACCCAGTCAGTGTCACTGGGATTTCAGCCCATGTTCCTGTTAGTGACCTTGGTCAGTTCTACTTAAAGATGCCTGAAGACATGGGGACATGAACAGGTGGATGTGGCCAGAGGCCTGGAGGCTCGAGGAGAGGGCTCAGCATCCTGCTGCTCATTTTCCTCTTGGTCTTCGATTTCCCTCTAAGTGAACTGGGCGCATCTCTTCCTTCTCCTCCTGGGGGCACATTCATGCACAAGGACTCTTTTTCTCGGGTTGAGTGCTGGGGTGGGGTGGTGGGGGATGATAATTTGTCTCAAACAACAAGGAGGTTTGCTCTTGGAGTTTGGAAGTTGGCATTTCTGATCTTGCTCTGGACGTGAGTGTCTGGGGCTCGTAGGGGAGGCCTGGGCTGTGGGTACCAACCCTGGCGAGGAAGAGATCAAGAGTAAGTCCTCGTTTGTAGCTTGTATCCCTAAAAGCAGTGTGGGACCTGAGCCCGTTTTGTCACATCGCTGGTCCCTGGCTCTTCACCTGGACTATGAGGTCGTGGGCCCCTGACAGTTGTGATTCAGTGATGAACTGTTGGTTGGTGCGTCCTCTGCACCCAAAGTGACCCTCGTCCCCTCCCCCTCCCCCCGTACCTAAATGACACTTTTCTGATGGCCCAGGAGAGACGTCACCCACATTTTACTGGTTTATCCAGAAGAGGGAAGCTAGATGGAGGCTGGAATTGTGTGATGCATAGCCTGCTAACACGGGCATGTGAAAGGGCAGCCCCGCGTGCTGAGCCAAAACCCCGTAACAACATGCTCCCTCTGGAATTCCAGCACCGATAATTATATCCACGTTTTGTGAGTATTTTCCTACAAAGATTTGCATCTAGTGCAAAGCTTCCTTGGTTTTTTGGAAAAGGTCCTCTTTATGGCTTGAATAAAGTGGGTTTTTTTAAGCAACATATGGCTACCTTTTATGCATCTTCAAATACGGTGCAAGAGTGAACTATGTTCCACCTGGGGTTTGATTAGTGGCAGTTTGAGTACATAAAAAAGGTGAGGTAAAGAAAAAAACACACAAAAGAGGCAACAAAGGTTATAGAACTCCATTAAATTATGTTTATGGTTTTGCTTGTCAGTATTTTGTAATACGAAATGGTTTTCCTGGAGTCTGTTTATCAGTGTTTGTCACTAATTAGTGCCTACAAATTACCTTTTGTTCAGGTCATGTTCTTCTGGTTGTCTTGGTGTCTAATAAATCAGAGTTCACGAACTTTCGCTGCTCCTTGTGTCCCGTGTTTTCCTGCTGATGCATCTTGAGATTCTGCCTCTCCCAAAGGTCTCCAACCACTGCGATTCCATTTTTGTGAACGGGAAGGAAATGAAGAGCAAAGTGGACACGACCGTGAACTTCACGCACCAGCACTTCACCTCCCAGCTAGAGGTCACCGTCTGGGCGCCTAGACTCCCCCTGCAGATTGAGATCTCAGACACAGAGCTGAGCCAGATCAAGGGCTGGAGGATCCCCGTGGCCTCCAACAGAAGGTGAGGAGCCGAGGGAGGGGTGAGTCCCGCAGAGGGCCGGGGGGTCTCAGGCTCCAGGGACCAGGATCACTGTGGGAGGCAGACGGCCCTTCGGGGCCCAGGCCCCAGGGAAGCAGCTTCTGCAGTGGGTCACAGTGGTCTGGGTTTGGGGTTCAGATGGATCTGACTTGGGTACTTACTAGCCTTTTGACAAGGAAATCATCCTGGACCTGTGAATACTATCCACCTCAGGGAGTAGTTGCTGGAATTCAGGATTATGTTGCACTGCATAAGAAGCACCTAGCATGGGGTACAGTTATTTTTTTATTCCCTATTTTCCCGTTGTTCCTCCCTGTGTTGTTCGTTCTCAGGTCCCTGCTTGTAAATGTCAGCCTTCACCTGTGGAGCGTGGCATGGTGGTTAAGTTGTGGGCTCTAGAATGAAGCCAGAGTTTTTACCCTGGCTTCCCCATATAGAACTGTGTGACCTCGGCCAGTTGATGAACCTCTCTGTTCCTCAGTGTCTTCATCTGTAAATGGAGATGATAATATTACTGAAGAGAGCTGTCCTGAGTATGAAGTGACACGTTGTGGAGTAGACAGAATTCTAAAGATGACACCCCACAAGATTCCTATCTCCTGATTATTCATTCAGACCCTGATCTGTTACTTCTGGGATTTTACAGGTGTAACTAAACTTCTAAATCCATCAATCTTAAGATGTGGGATTATCCAGGTGGGCCTGACCCGTCAGTTGACCCCTTGAAAACAGAGTTTTCTCTAGCTGGTGGCTGTCCTGTACGATGTGTAACCTTTTAAAATGGACATGTTTTTATCCAGCATAAATCCCCTGAGATCCACAGCCGTTGTTGGCTGTATGGAGAGTTCCTTTATCTGTAGTGTTGCGTGGTAATCCGTGGTGTGTCCTCTCTCAGTGTGATGAATCAGCTGTCTGCGGGAGGCCACTCCTGCTGTGTCCAGCTGGGCACGCTCACGGACAGAGCTGCTGCGACAAGTTTCCGTGTGCACATGAGTCTTCTGGGGAAAGTGCCCAAGACTGTAATTGTTGGGTCGTATGAATAGGGCATTAGTTTTAAAAGAAACTCCTGAACTATTCTCCAGAGAGGTTGTCCCATTTCACGCTCCCAGCAGCGATGAATGGGTCACCTAGTACTCCACACCCTTGTCAGCATTTTCAGAGCTTACATCCTGTATGGTCCCTTTTACAGAGATGCGGAAAAGGGACAACAGACTGGTGGTTGCCATGGGTTCGGGATGGTGTGGAGTATGAAGGAGGAATCCCCGGGCACCCCTGTGCGGACGGACGAGTTCTGTGCCTTGACTGTTGTGATGGTTACATGAGTCCTCAGGTGACAGAATTGCATAGAAGCACACACACGCATGCACACACACGTGCACGCACACACGTGTCCTGGTTAAACTGTTGAAATCTGAATAAACTCTGTGGTTTGTACCCGCATCCGCTTCTGGATCTTGGCACTGGACTGTGATTATGGGAGATGTTAACTCAACAGAAGTGGTGCAGAGCTTTCGGGGCCTCCCTGTACGTTGTTTTCTAACTTACTGTGAATTTCTAATTCAGAATTTAAAGTTTTTTTTTTTAAATAATAGAATGCTGTCCTAAAAGAACAGAACTGTTTCATTAATATGGTATTTCTGTAACTTCATTTATTCATTCACCACGTTTATGATACTGCCCCTTCTGTAATATATACTTAATTTTGCTCTTTTTTCAGTGTTATTCCTGTAATTAAGGGACATTTCACCTTGCTTTCAAAACTGGCCAACTGGTAAAAACTAATGCAAAGAAAAGAAAGCGTCAGGATTACATTCTGTGTAGATACTGCTGTTTGTCCGTGTGAGCTGGTCTCTAGTAAGTCGACTAGCAGGTGTCAGATAAGCGTTAGAGACCCCCCAGCACCAGAGACCTTCATTCCCTGTGATGTAATCAGAAGGACTGAAAAGTAAACGGGAATAACTTTTCCGAATGTCATTCCAAGGTTTTGATCCTATGTCCCTTCACCACACAAAACCATCCTGCCTACCGCAGAGATATTCACCCCTCACTTTGGGAAACCCAAAATGCTTCCTATTATTTTCCCAATGGGACCTTTCAGGGAGGCAGAAGGATCTATTTTAAAGAAAGTGGGTTTCAGAAGTCAAATGGAAGTCTGTAAATTCACTGCTCTGCAGCTGTCTAGACCATGTACTAACCAGTCTGAGCCCCGGCATCTTCATGTAGAAATAGGGACATGTTTCGTGGCTGTTTTGAAGATGAACAGAGTTCGCTATAAAGAGGAAGAGGCACGGAGGGGCACAGTGGCCTGGGTGTGGATCCCGCCTCTAGATGGCTAACTGGGTGGCCGGGGCCGAGTGGCCTCTCCTCTCTGTGCCTTGGCTTCCCACTGTAAGATCAGGATAGTAAAACACCCTCCCTCCTTGGGGTGGTGATTAAAGGAGTCAAATGTATGTGGTTGGCGTGTGGGATGCGGTCCACGTGTGTCAGCTCTCGTGGTCACATGAGTGCATCGAGCTGGACCCAGCACATAGTAGGTGTGACTCAGCGTGTGAATCTCTGCACTGTCGCTCCTGACACCTGATGGTTGTCGACTGGTCACCAAACAAGGTCCTCTCACAGAACACTCAGGACAGGTTCATCTTGAGGGGAAGGTTCTGGAATAGCAGAGCCTGTGAGGGTTTCTCCGGGGGGCTGTGCACAGGCCGGTTGAGAGGAGGGGCTGGGCCCACGGGAGGAGGGGAGAGGCAGGCGAGGACCCGTGGGCCAGGGTGCCCCCGACTCCTGCAGGACTCCACAGCTGCTCTGTGCTGAGCACTGCGGAACTGGGTGGTGGGAGGTGGGAAAGGGCCCCCCCGGCCTCTGAGAGCTCAGAGGAAGCCACCCTGTCCGGAGCAGAGGGCCTTGGCCAGCCCAGAGCCAGTGCCAAGCTGTCCCACGCCAGTGGATCATGACGGTCTTCCCGTCCCCCAGGGGCTGTCCTTGCCTGCTCGCACCTTGACCACGGTGACCCTCACACACACCTGGAGGGAGCAGAAGGGCAGCATTCTGGGGGTCACTCCCGAAGGAGATATGCCCAGGCCTGTGCGGGGCTGGAGGAATGGAAACCGGTCCCAGCAGCTCTTCTCACCTGGGACCTCACGTCCCCCGCAGCGGGGACAGTTTCAGACTGCGGAGCTCCGGAACACAGGACGGGGCCCAGCCTCTGCCTATGTGGGGCAGAGTGTCCGGCCGCGCTGGGCCCTGAAGGCGGGGTGGTGCTTGCCTTCCATGCTCCGAGTAGGTGGCAGCACACGGGGCGCACGGGGCCACCGACGAGCAGTCAGCGAGGGAACCGCTGGTGGGCGGGTCCGGTGGGGAGAAACACCATGTCATGTGTTCCTTAGAAGCCACACTGGATTTGGAAGACGAGTGTGCAAAGCCCCTTATCAACCATGACGCTCGTCCTGGTTTGTTTGTGCCCCAGGCCCACCCGAGAGAGCGAGGACGAGGAGGACGAGGAGAAGAAGGGCAGGGGCTGCTCCCTGCAGTATCAGCACGCCACGGTGCGCGTCCTCACCCAGTTCGTGGCCGAGGCGCCCGACTTGGGTCAGCTGAGCTACATGCTGGGCCCCGACTGGCAGTTCGACATCACCGACCTCGTGGCCGATTTCATGACGGTGGAGGAGCCGAGGATCGCGCAGCTCCAGGGCGGCAGGACCCTGGTGGGCCGGGAGCCGGGGATAACCACCGTGCAGGTACGGGGCATGCGCGCCGTGCCCCGCCCCACCCCCAGTCTGTCCCGGAGCGCACGTGGGTGTGCGTGTGCGCATGCGCACGTGAATAAGAGGCTCGTGAGCAGCAAAAAGAGAATTCATCGATTTTAGTAATCTAAGGTAGATTAATTTTTGCATTTTTGGGAGGGCTGAGAAAAAAATACCTAATTTCTTTCACCAGTCAAAGCTAAATTAAATGCACAGTGGAAGCAGCCTTTCCCCCCACGTAATTTACTCCTCATATATCACTAACAGAAGGTAGTCAAACCTGAGAGAACTAGTTTTATTTTTCCCACCTTGAGGGTTAACCACTTAGCTATATATTACACTTTGAACAGTGGACAGAAAATTTTTAAATAGCCTGTATTTGTACTAAAAATAATTTTTAAATCCACTAATTACATGCTCTGTATTTTATTAGAACAATGGTAAAGCTATTTTTCTGGTCAGTTTTAATGGAGTAATTATGCAGAAATGCTGCAGCATGTTTTTTAGTAAAAAATGTAAAGCATTGCTGCTGATAGTTGATTAAGTCGTATTTTAGGTGGTGCCCAAGCTGATTTTGATGGAGCTGGATTGAACATGCTCTATTTTGTATGACTTCTCTGTTGCCGTGTAGCACCTCCTCACAGACTGAGCAGCGAAAACCAGCACCAGTGTAGTGATTCCCTTCTGTTGTAGGTCAGGAGTCCACGGGAGCTCGGCTGCGTTCTGCCCTCGGGGCATCGCAAGGCTGAGATGAAGGTGGTGGCTGGGCGGGGCTCACGCGGGGGCGTGGGGGAAAGGGTCCCTTCCCGGCTCATTCAGGCTGTTGGCAGAACGCACTTCCTCACGGGTGTGGGACCGAGCGGTCTGTTTCCTCGTGGATTGTCAACTAGGGCCAGTCACTCTCCCCTGGGAGGACACCTGCGCCACTTCTCATGTGACGGCTGGGTCAAGTCCCTCTCCCACTTTGAGTCTCTGTGACTTTCCCTTCTGCCACCAGCCAGGGAAGGCTCTCTGCTTTTACGGGCTTCACGTGATGCCGCTGGCCCCACCTGCGTGATCCAGGATAAGCGAACCCGCCGTGTAAACGTGACATCGTCCCAAGTGATTTCTCATCACATTCCCAGGCTTGAGAGATTAGTGGAGGACATCCTTGGGAGGAGGGGGGACAGTTTTAGAAATTGTGCCAACTGGATATTCCTCTCCATTTGTTAGTCTCCCCTGGTTGCAAACTAGAAGGTAACTTGCTTACATGGTCTCTCCAGCGTGACACAGCAGCCCACGCCGTTGTCGCTGCTGTCCCGTGGTGAACAGCTCACTGCCCCCTGGAGGGATAGCGGCAGGAGAAGGTGGCAGAGCCCTGTAGGCGCTTTCCCACAGTCCTGCCACTTTCACATCTAAATATTAGTGGCTGGGAGACGGTCGCCCTCTGAGTGCCTGGTGCCAAGGTGGGCAATCTTTAGCTATTGGCTCGCAGTTAAATTGCGCTCTTCCTGGGAAATACACTAGTATTGTCATGGCCTGAATCAGAGGAAAGAAGATGGACCAGCGTGGTATGTGTCATACTCTTCCTTCAATGGCGAGTGTGCCATTGGATCACAGCATACCACGTACCCACGCGGTTCCCACGGGTGCACGCCTCCAGCAGAGACCTGAGGGAACGCACTGGTGGAAATGTCAGTTAGGAGGTTCCCACACTTGTGTGCAGCAGAGACTGGAGCTTGCTCGCTTCCTTTGAAGGTGCTCTCACCTCTGTCCGACTCCATCCTGGCTGAGAAGACAGTGATCGTGTTGGACGACCGCGTCACCATCGCCGACCTGGGCGTGCAGCTGGTGGCCGGCTTGTCTCTTGCCCTGCAGCCTCACAGAGCGGACAAGAGGGCTATTGTCTCCACGGTGTCTGCCCAGGACGTCCTCCAGGCCCCGCAGCAGGTGGGATTCCAGAGTCCTTTTGTCCCCAGTCAGTTGAGACCACTTCCTTCCCTCTCACGTCTTTGGAGGAGATCAGTAGGGCACTCTTAGCTAGGTCAGGGGGCTCCTTGAAGCGTCTTTCTGCTTCTTATCTGGGCCACCCTGTCTCTTTTTGAGAAAAATACCAGTGACTTAGATACATGTCGCTCGTTTATGCTTTTATACACCGACCATGTGTCCGTATACCATTTGCTTTACCCCAGCCTTGCCTGCGCTCGGCACACCCCGCTAGATCATGACCAGAGGATCCCATGTGGTCATTCTGCCAAAGCAGGTGGTGTTTGATACCTGGACATTCCATTTCAGCTGCTTGAACAAGCATGGCTAATGGGCACCAAATTGCTACTGTTTATAGTCCTTGACAACTCTAAAGTTCCCCTCCATCTTTAAACTCATGCGGAGGTTCGCCGAGGCACCGGGACTCGGTGCCTTTCCAGTGAGCTTGTCTTGTAAGGCATTGTCCCCCAGGCCCCTCAGCCCGTGCGTGTTCTGCTTCATCAGCCCTGGCTTCCTAATAAAGGATGTTTAAAGTGATATTATCGGGAGGAGTAGCCTGATTAGTGGCACCTGATCTTGATTCAGATAAATTGCCTGATCTTTCAAAATGTTTTTTAGAAAGGTCAAAGTCAATGCAATAAATTAATATGCACTTTAATGCATTCATTAAAGTATATCATTTGCTCCTCACATCGGTGGGGCAGTAGGATGTTATGGATGCCAGTTCAAGGCATGCCAGGAACTATTCAAGATTATAAAACATAGAAGTTTATTTTTCTCAGTCTGTATATTTAAATAATATTCTATAGGAAATCATATTTATGTTTGCAGTTGAAGGAACCTGATTGTAATATAATGCTCTGGTTTCATTTTTCCTAGGAAGCAATAGTCAGTTCTTGGATTTTGTTCAGTGATGGTTCAGTGACACCCTTAGACATTTATGATTCCAAGGATTTTTCAGTTACTGTGTCATCATTGGATGAAATGGTGGTGTCTGTCCAAGCAAACCTTCAGTCCAGATGGCCGGTTGTGGTCGCACAGGGTGAAGGGCAAGGGCCCTTGATTAAATTAGAAATGATGATTAGTGAGCCCTGTCAGAAGACCAAGAGGAAGAGTGTTCTTGCCGTGGGTAAAGGGAATGTCAAGGTCAGATTTGAACCAAATATTTATGAGCACCAAGGAGGCACCAACAATATTGAGGGCATCAGTCGGGAATACAAGGACCACCTCAGTAATTCCATAGAGCGTGAAGGAAACCGGGAGAGAGCAGGTCAGGAGTGGTTCCAACATGGCGCCTCGGTTGGCCAAGAGGAACGTAGCAACAAAAGCACAACCCCACAGTCTCCCCAGGAAGGAAAGGATAAGAAGTCACTCAAGAGTGGCGGTCCAGACACGTTCACAAGCTTCCCCACTCAAGGGAAGTTACCGGAACCCAATAATCCCAGTGACCTGACAGTGACCTCCAGGGGGTTAAGTGACTTGGAGATCGGCATGTACGCTCTGCTCTGTGTCTTCTGCCTGGCCATTTTGGTCTTCTTGATCAACTGTGTGGCCTTTGCTTGGAAATACAGACACAAAAGATTCGCCGTGAGCGAGCAAGGCAACATCCCCCATTCCCATGACTGGGTCTGGCTTGGGAATGAAGTAGAACTTCTGGAGAACCCCGTGGACATCACCCTCCCGTCGGAGGAGTGCACGACCATGATAGACAGGGGACTGCAGTTCGAGGAGAGGAACTTCCTTCTCAATGGCGGTTCCCAGAAGACTTTCCATAGTCAACTGCTCAGACCCTCTGACTATGTCTATGAGAAAGACCTTAAAAGTGAGCCTATAAATCCATCGGGCCCAAAGCGGAAGCGAGTCAAGTTTACTTCCTACACCACCATCCTCCCGGAGGACGGCGGCCCATACACCAACTCCATCCTGTTTGACAGTGAGGACAACATCAAGTGGGTCTGTCAGGACACGGGGCTGGGGGGTCCCCGGGACCTTAGAGACTATATGGAAAGCCTGCAAGACCACATGTGAACTCCTTTCTTACGTTTGTATTCACCTTTATGCCTTCTGTTTTTTGAACGGTGGAGCAGTGAGTTTGTTCAGCAATAGGGGATGATTTAACAAAGCTTCATTTGGGGCGGTCTGGGGCGGGGAATCCCTTTCTGAGCAGGTGTCAGAGGCCTGGAGAGCTATAGCAGCTGGGTTATAAGCCGGGAAATGTCTCGAAAGCAGCCGCCTGTAGATCCTGGAGAAATTCTAAGACGACAGTTCTATCTGCTACCTGGTACTAGCTCAGTTCAAACATACTAAACCTGACCCCACAGACATTGTTAGTCATCTCGCAACAAACGGCCACATGGAATTAGAAAAGGCTCGGGTGTTGATTTTTCTATTCCTAGAACTTTTAAAGCACAGTGGACATTCCTTGCCCTTGGCCTGAGATTGGATGTACGTGAAAGATGCTGAATGTAGCCGCCCTTATTTGTTACGAGGCTGCTCATTATTTTTATACACATTTGCACCTGCACCTGGTTCATTTGGCCTCTGGAATTCTTTTTGAAACATGAAGAAGAGCAATCGCGGTCTCCTCTCTCTGAGATGTTTGATTTTCACATGAGTTTTAGTCGCTGACGTTCGCCACATCCGTGTCGGACGGCAGGTGCTCTCCGTTGCCCACGTTCCTTACCTAAGGGGCAATGTCTGAGAAGCTTATCCTCACGCTGTCCTCCCTTCTCTTTGTTGTGGAACTTCCTTGTATCAGACTGGGACATGGGATTTTACATAAAATATTAATATACTGCAAGGGAGGGCCATCTTTACAGTTTTCTATACAGCGCTTACAGACTTTGGTGACCACTTGTCAACCACATTTGTTTTTATCTTCTGCTTGTGGAACATTCGTGGGGGACTCCTGGAGTGTATTTCTGAGGGCAGAAAGACCCTGAGAGAGTCGTATTTATACTGGTGCTTTCCGGTCAACACAATTTGTTATCCAAGCTGAAATCAAAATTTTAAATTACTATTACACAGAAAGGAAATTGCGTAGGAGATATGTTCAGGTGGTACTTCCATTTTACCAGAGCAAAAAAAAAAAAAAAAAATTGAAAGTAAGTAGAATGATGTTTCAACTTAGCAATATGTAAAAATCCATCCATATAATGACATCCCCCCCCCAAAAAAAATCATCAGTCATGACTCTGGCAGAGCTCAAACCTACGCAGGGTATGCACTGATGGAGAAAAGAATGGGTTTGCTCCCAAGTTTCATAAAATAAATGACTGTTGGAGAGTTTCAGAAGCAGGTAGGTAGAAAAACCATAGCTGTTGGAAAGTCAGAGTGGCAACAGGAAAAAAACATAAGCGTGACCCCCCCTGCATAATTTTTTAATAAAAAATGTCTTTCAAAGAATAGTAGGAATGGTTTCAAGCAGAGCAAGAATTTCAGATTAGCGGAGCAGAACAACATTTGATTACGGTGGGTTAGCTGGGAAAACGGGCACGGGACTAGCCCACCTATTCCAGGATTTCTGGTGCCATCTGCATCGCTGAGAAGTAGAAATGTGAAGGCCAGAGTTGCGAAGACCTGCAGGAGGGGCAAGGAAGTGGTCGGCTGACTCCACACGGTGGAGGAGCGAGCTGTTGGAACAAGAGGTTGTGAGCTTTCTGTGTGCGGGAGCACGACCACCCGCCTCCTCCAACGGACGGCGTCCTACCCGTGTCTCTCGCCCACGGGACTGCAGCGGGTTTGTAAACAGTGCATAAATCCGCAGGCTTGTGGGCCTGATCTCTAGAGGCCAGTGTCCAGCCGATCTTGTGTCTCAGATGGGGGTTAAGGGCTGAAGCCGGTGAAGTTTCAAAAATCTTCCAACCTGATGGGTGAAGGAAGCCAGGAGACCCGGGCCTTGGCTTCGGAGGGAGTTTGCACAGAGAAGGCTGATGCCTGGCAGCAAGAGCACCCTGGGCACCCAGAGGAGGCTGAGGCCGCTCACCGAGGGTTCGGTGCAGAGGGAGCTCGGCCCGCCGGGGAGGCCCTGGGGAAGTTCACACGCTAATGCCACGTAGCTCTCCTATCGAGTCCCACTCCTGTGCCGTGTTCTCAGTGTTCTCTGCCTTTGGATCTTCAGCATTCCAACATAACGGGAACTTCGAGTCTGAAACTGAGGAAGCTCAGCTGGTATGGGGGTGAGTCTCTCACACACGCGCACACGGACAGCAGGCTGCCCCCGCTGCTACAATGAGGCCCTGGGTCAGGGGGTGATCTGGGAAGGGACAAGGGACGTTACCATTGCCGTGGGGAGCATTACTGAGAAGCTTGCAAATCAGAGCCTTTCCTGGGGTCTGAGCACTTGCTGGGGGCAGAGCGCAGACTAGGCAGCATCAGAAGGGAGAACGTGCCGCTGGGTTCTCAGGAGCGGGAAACTGACCGCTGTCCTGAAGATGCCTCCCGGGGGGTGAGCCACAGTCCCCCAGTGTGATCTGGGCTCTGTACAGTCACTTTTGCTGGCTTCTGTTCAAACTAAGTTCACTATGAGTCACGTGGAAGGTCACGGGGCGGGGGGTCCCTTTTACCACACAGGGCACACTCACACGGATGCACACATGTATGCACGTGAGTGTGTGAATAGTGAGGAGCCAGGGAATACAGTATTTAGTGGAATCGGCACCGTGGCTTGCTCCCCGACTTGGCGTGGGCACTGTTCCCAGCTCCCCAGGATTTCAGTGAGGTTCTTTCTGTTCTAAATGTTTCCCGCTCACCAGCAACCATGGATTATATCCACTTGTTTTTCAACTAGATCATTTAAAACGAATAGGAACCCCTCAATATCTAAACTAGAATGGGGAAAAGATGTAACTTAGGAAACCTTGAAATCCGTTCCCTGGGGGCCTGCACTCACCTGGAGTTTCCAGGTTTTTACAGCTGGATCGGTGCGATTCGTCACCGGAACAGACCAACAGTGATAAAGCCCTGTCCTTTCCCTAAGAAGGGAATACTTAGGCACCGCCCTCCCCCCAAGGCCAGCACCAGCCAGCCTCCTGAGGGGCCACAGGCTGGGAGCTGTGCGGGTCCCACGGAGGGTAGCTCAGGCGCCCACAGGGACCAGGCCACCTAGAACGGGGAGGGAGAGAGCGGTGTCCCCCACGGCCAGATGTGCTCCCTCCCAGGCCGGGGCGCGGGGTGCCACATGACGGAGGTAGAGCTTAAATGCACAGAGTCGCATCTTCAGGAAAGCCAGAAGACCCTGCCAATGTCCCTGAAGAACGCCCCCCAGCAAGCCTCGGGCCACCCCGTGCGCACGGACAGAGGACTGACTGACCTCCCAGCTATTTTGTGTTGCACCCTGGCCAGGGTCAGCTCCCAGACTTCAACTCCAGGCAGAGGGTGTCTGTGTGCACATGTTAATGCAGGGAAAACATGGATTACTTTTTGTCCCATTTGCCACATCCATAGACGAGCACTTTGTACTTCGTTCATTTTTAAGTTTTAGGAAGTCTGCCTTTGTGCATTTTGATCCTTTGCATCCTTTCTTCACCCTTTTGGAAAGGCATCTTCCCGGTGTTGGGGTGTTGGGACCGGTCAAGGCTCTGTGTCTGAGAACTAGCCAGCCCGCCTTCAACAACCACGCAGAGCGGTTGCACCTGCTTCCTACGTGGCTCCGGGACCATTGTCTTTTCTACTCGAATCATCTCAGAAATGGCTTCAATTCTCCATCCTCGTCTCTGTAAGTGACACGATGGATAGTTTATAGACTCAGCAACCATCTCCCCCATCGAAATTCTACACGTGTGATGTACCGCGTATCACCTGTGAGTGAAGGGACAGGACGGGTGGTGGAGGTTACGGGAGGATGCGGCTCGCAGATATTTTTGTATGTAACATACGCAATACCCTGAGGCACCGAGAGGTGTGCTGGAATAAATACATTTTACAGTAAAAGCATGCAATGCTGTAGCTTTTAAATGTACAGACCTCCTGCTCAAAAATATCTAAACCCATGGTGGGGGAAACACTGGGTAGGAACGCGGCCTGGAGAGGGCGCAGCTCGTTGGCGGCATCACTGATGGAACCTGCCAGAATATTTTGATCTTACTCTTCATTGCTTTTGGATTTTTTTTCCTCTTTTTTTTTTTTTCCTGGAAATATTTCAGAAATAAAGTGACTACATTTCCCAGCATAAAGGTATATTCTAACCACAGGGTAACTCATCATTTTTAACATGAAAATAAACATTTAAACACTCTTCCGTGGTTTCATTATTTTACGCACACAGTCCCTTTTCAACTTTGGCCTCTGTATGATTTTGCTAGATATCTATTTTTTTCTTCTTAGCCAGAGATTTTTAATACCTCTGATACAGCAATAAATGGAAACCAAAAGAAAATGTTGCTTAAAAGTTGCCAACAACTTGCACCTTGGAAAGCTCCTCATTTGCTTCCCCAGCTGGGGGACACTTATTCTGGGATGTGTCAGAAGGAGGGCTCGTGGCACCCAGTCCCTGGCCAGGGTCACACCGTCTTGGACTCAGCGCTGACATGCAGGATGCAGTGGCCCCTGACCTCGGTCTCCTTTCTGGTCTTTCCTTGTGGATGGCTCACTCAAGTATGTATCTGGGGCATGGGCGTGGGTGCTGAGGACCAGAGCTGTGGAGACATAAGAAAAACACAAGAGCGCCGGGCTCCTGCCTGGGAGGCTGATGGAAGCGTTTCAGCTGACGGCCGGCCAGGTGCTGCGGAGCCCCCACAGGTCCTCTGTTGGCATGAGTGTCCTCCCCAAAACTGCCAGTATCACCTTTGGCATCTTGGCAAAGGCCGCCCCTTGCTTTCAGGAAGAGGCAGTAACTTGAGCTAAGTGGGCTCTGCAGACCTCATTTGACGCAGCGGGTGTAAACACGGGGGTTTGGGTTTGGCTTGTGGAATCAGATCCGCAGAGTAGCAGGCTGCAGATGAGCCCCCGTGCTCTCCCAGGCGTGGAGGATTTCCCACTGACCACCTCCCCCTCCTCCTCCTCGTCCTCGGAACGTAGGAGGACGGAGCCACGGCCCCTGCACGCTCGCCCCAGGCCCCAGGGTGCACATACATAGTCAGTAAAGTTGGTTTCTAAAAGAGAAAGGAAAAAGAAGCTTGAAAAAAGGTTTGTAAAAGAATGAACCCTTGTTATATTTAGTTTTTGAGTGTGTGCAAAGTGCAAACCCCCACATTTCCAATTTGGGGGGGTATTGATTCCTTCATGCCTTTAGTTTCTCTATGGTTTCACACAGCTTAGATTGGCAATGGAGGATTTTTTGTTGTTGTTTGCTTTTAGAAATTGTAAAGAATATGAGAAAGGGCAGGAACATTGTACCCTGGGTCTTCTAGGAGTCTAGGGTGAGCAGGACACTGTCATTCTCCAGAGGGGAAATAACGGTCCAAGTCCAATAGGGCCTTCCTGCCCCAGTCCAAGAAAGTAATCATGTCATCAAAACTGGACAATCTTCATGTTCCATGAGATGCCTTTATGATTTCTTTGGCTTTAATTATTGCCCTTGGTCAGTTCAAGATGAAACCTTTTCATTTGATCTTAAGGATTGAAATCTCGTTAGACACTGCAGAAGCCAAGAGGACAGGCGGTCTTTTTAATGCATCTACCCTGCCTGTTGGAAGAACGCACTTTACAAACAGTGGGATGGATGTTGCTCTGGAATTTGGGGTCCATGTGATACCGACCTCTCGACCCATTTGAAAATAGTACTTCTCTAGGCTTAAGTCACTGTTGACCTGACCCTTCTTTCTTTTCTTCCTTTGGCCAAAGAGCATGTAACACTTTCTGGTTCCCATGATAAGGCTGCAGCCAAAAGAATCGCTGCTTGATGATGACCTCCTTTGTAGGAATTTGACTCGCTGAATGAAGTAACACCAACACCAGCGTAGACACTGCCCGGGTAGTGTAGTTTCTTCACTTAGAGATGCTTCCTTGGAGAGTGTGCCTTGTTCTCTTTGTCCTAACCACATAGGATCTCTGTTTTATCTGGGTAAGTTCCCACTTGAGGCAAACACGCTCTAATCCCATGGGTATTGTAGGCTGACAAGGGGCACCCACGAGGCATTGATAAAGCACACCCTCCCAGGTTCTCAGCCCCCGTGTTCCACTCTCCGGGTTATGCGTCTCTCCTGGGTACAGCTGTAAACTTGTGTGGGGCCTTTTACTGTCTCAGTGGCCCTGCCGCTGTAAATCGCTTACACCTGCCAGTTCCCATCCCCAGAGACGCCAAGACTGGCCACAGGAGGGACCAACGTGCTTCCTCTGGGCACACAGACCACCGAGCAAGTGACCTTTCCTTAGCTGTCCTCCACGGGGAGCCTTATTTTGAACATCAATTTAAAATTCAATGCAGATTCCAGGAATGAATCTGTTGCCCGACCCCCCATGACAGTGATGTTCCAGGCATGGTCGTGGGTTTAAGCCAAAGCCTAAAGTATGGAAGGCAGGAGCCGGAGAGTAGAGAATTACGTAATAAGTGAACAACAATGGGTACCACACAGCAGATCCATGCTCTCGGTGGGGGGCCACACGTGTCTCCCCGTGGCCAACGATTCTTACGATGCTGCTTATCTATATAACACGTGTCTGAAGAGCATGCCGTGTGCTCACAATTTAAATCTGTCAGGTTCCCTGGCTCTTCTCAGGCAGGTGGATCTGATCTGGGCTGCCGAGCGCAGTGAACGGCCAAATCCACACAGCCCACTTCCGGCTGGCTTCTGGGCAACAGTGGGGGATATTTGGCCTGGCATTTGAAAAAAAAAACAAAGGTGTTATCCCCTACTTTCTACTTTTCTGAGTTGGGTTCTTGTTGCCTGGTACTCGCCCGATATTATAAACAGAGCATGCTGTGATAACATTGTGCTTCTATATCCTTTTTCGGTTGTATAACGTCTTTCTCATATTACCCACGGTTTTCAGTATGATCTGTTGTATATGTTCTTCGGTATATTTAACATATCTGTAAAGGCACTTCCAAACATTTTGAAAATGAAGAAATAAAACGTGTTGGACGATTCCTTGTTATAGTAAAACAGTCAATTGGTAGGTTCCAGGAAATGACCTCATCTTCAAATACGTGTTCAAAGGAGGATATTAAGAAGAACTTAGGTCCGGCATAGAGGCAGTTGGCCATGTCTTCAGAGTCTTGAGGACAGTTATTGGCCGAGACCTTGAGAATTAGAGAAAAGAATGGTTTACTTAAATATGAGAGCAAGATTCCAAGGGAACGAGGGGAATACTCAGGGGAAGTATTCTGGCTAAACAGCCGGTTGAACTATCTAGGTTAGGAAGGTGCCTTCCAGAAAGAGGACGGTGGTGGTCCATGCATTTCTGTAGGTAAGACATGCAAATTCGGTTCTTGGAGAAAGCCAAGAAAAGTCCATCTTTCCTTAAAGCTTACAAAGTTGAATTTTAATGAAAGAAAAATCTTTATTAAGATTTGTCCCTGCCAACCGGGGGCAAGTCATTGTAAAATTGGAGCCCCAGGAAAACCCATTCAGGCACCAAAAATTCTAGTTCAGATTCATCGTCTTGGGATGTATTGCATTTAACTCCAGAACTGCTAAAACATTTCAATACATTGGGTCTCCACCATTCTGCAAAGTGTAAGCAGGAAAGGGACCCATCACACCACACCCACACACCCTACAGACAGCAGGCTCCAAGGGCTGGGTTCCCTGAACTGAAGTCTGCTGGGCTGACCACACCTCTGTCAAAATGCAGCTTTAGAAAAGCAAGCTCCCTCCCCAGAGCAGTGTCAGGTTGGCTGTCTCAGGCATCTGGGACGACCCTGAGCCAACCAGCCACGCTCCCAGTTCACCGTGATAGTTACAGGGGTCGATTGCGGCTTCATAACCAGGGGTGTGATCAGCACGACTCTAGACGCACAGAGGTCTCTGCAATACTCCCTCCCCTTTCTGCAAAAGGCAGTAGCTATAAAGAGAGAACAGTTGGCGACACACACACTTTCTGAGCCTTGACTCTCCTTCAAAGAACGAGGTGGACCAGAACTTAAGAAGGCAGCATCACCAAGACCTTGGAAGCCACTTTGAGGTGAGCTCAGTCTGCATGAAGGGACAACAGGTGAGTTTCCAGGGCGGATTGGACAGACCTGCATGGGAAGAAGCCTGCTCAGTGTCACAGGTCATTAGGGGTCAGGGCTGGTGAAAGTGGATATTTTTGTATTCTGTTTTTTTCATGCCCTAAAAATAGTTCACATGACCTTGAACACTGTGTATCCAGATATTCTTGTTTTTAACTCTGCAAGATTAATAATGGATGGTATTGGAGTTGGCACCCCTTAATAGCATTATTTTTTCATAAAACATACAGGGGAGCTTGTAGTTCCAATTTTTCTTAATCTACCAAAATGTTAAGACCATCTTTGACCCAGGAGCTTTCCAGTGGCCCTTACAGCAGGAATCCGAATGTGTGTTTGGATCGTCCAGGTTGTGAGTGGGCAACGTTCCTGTGCACCCTGGGAAGGCGGTCGGGGTGGCCAGTGAGGGTGGGGGCAGGGAGCAGGATCCCTGTTCGCTGTTTCTCCACGTGGGTCGGATGGGGGGGGGGCTCCTTCCTGCTCAGTTGGGAAATGCTAGCCCTTGAAGCTCCTTTGAGAAACACAAATAAGTTCTAAACATGAAGGTGTGATATATCAGGGATCTCTGAATTAATGAGATCTTTGTCCTGACCTTTCCCTTCTTCTCAGGGAGGCTCTGCCCTTCCTGCCCTTCCTTCTGCAACCTGAAATCCGGGTCTGACCTGGGGACACCTGCACCAGCCCTGGGGCAGCCTTAGCTCCATACATACCCAGACTCTAAAATGCAAAAAGGAAACCACCAAACCCCAAACGGCTACAGAAATACAGTATTATGTCAGCTTTGTTCACTGTTAAGTTTAGAAGCCATAACATTTTCATGGCTTTTGGAAACAATTCACAGATGAGACTTTCTAACTTATCAAAAATTGCTGAATGCATACTGTGATCCCCAAGAGATTGTCGCCAATTATAAATAATGAGTTAGGGAAAGCTAGATATTTTCAGAGGCAAAAGAATTCTATTTCATATTTACATGTGTTGTACTTTAAATGTTCGATATGCCTTGAAGTATGACCTCTAGTTGGAAGGGCATCTGGGGGTCTACAGAGGCCTTGAGAGAGCCCTGATTCCAGGGACCATCTGGAATTTTCCTCATCCTGGTGATGAGGTGTGTGCCTGGAGAAGGCATGAACCACAGGAGACCTATTAGTAAATTATGGAAACACTGATAATATTCACCTTACATGTTATTTGGCTTTTTGTAATCCTGAACCTGTGTTGGAAAATTATGAACTACTTTTCAAAAGCTTCCGTGACCTTAGCTTGCAATGTTCTAGATACTGAAACCACTTAATATGTTTTATTGGACATTAACATAAAATGGGAGAACAAAGCAAGAAACCTCCAGGTTGATTCGCACATCGAAAAGAATATTTCTGTTTGTGGGAGATGACAGAGAGACGAAGTGACCACTAACTTCATTAATGTGACAATAAAGGGTCAAACACATCAGCTTTGTCACCAGGTTCATGGATCTGGCAAAAGGATTATAAAACCCCACATGTGCAGGTTCCGAAGATCCCAGGGAGGGAGAAGGCTGGCAACAGTGACTGAGGGGGGGGGTCTTGATGGGCAGGTAAAATCAAGAGTGTTCCAGATCGAGGGAACAGAACATGCCAAGGCAGGAATTTCCGCGTGCTTGAAAAGTCCCATTAGAGCCTGGCTTGGGGTGAGGTGGGGACTATGACATGGGGCGGGGTTGGTGTCCTCCAGCAGAAAAGAGATATGACCTGAGATACAATTTTTTTTCGTAGGAAGAGAGAGAGAGGGTGTGTGAACGGGGGTGGGGAGGGGCAGAGGCAGAGGGAGAGAGAGTCCCGGCAGGCTCCATGCTCAGCACTCATCTTGGAGCCAGACATGGGGCTCGGTCTCACGACCCTGACATCACCTCAGCCAAAATCGAAAGTCAGATGCTCAACCGACTGAGCCACCCAGGTGCCCCCCAGAGGTGCATTTTTAAAATAAGCCAAAGGCACACCAACCACACAGGGCTCTGCACTTGGGACCGGGTGCTGCGATACTCCGTGCTCCAGAGTGTCCACCGTCATGTAGGAGGTGGGGAGCCTGGGCAAACACGGCAAATCCTGGTAAATCCTAAGCAACAGAAAGTGTTTAGAAAGTGTTGCTGGAGGACTTGGGCTAAGCAGGGTACATTCGAGGGCATGTTTGGGTCGCACGGTGGTAGCCTGTCTAGCATGACATTTCTCCAAGTGTGGTATGAGCAGGAAACGTGGCCAGCTCCCTTGGTGAGAAAACAAAAACAAACAAACCCCTGAAAAGGCATTCCGGGAATGCATCCTGCTGTGCGCAATGGTTTTTAATCTTCCCCTTTGAAGGTTTCAGACCGCATTTAGGGGTTTGAGAAGTCTGCCTATAATGAACATTTCAAGCGTTCCTTAACTGCATGTTCCGTGTTATCTAGTTTTCCTTTTTTTTTTCTATTTTAATTAATTATGAATTTATTAGGTGCCTACTTTTGCCTAAAACCTATTAGAACCCTAACGGGCTGCACCACGCATGTTGAGAACTGCTGCTTTATTTTTTTATTTTTTATTTTTTTAAATTTTATTTATTTATTTGTCAGAGAGAGAGAGAGAGAGAGAGAGCGAGCGTGCATGGGAGGGGTGAGCGGCAGGCAGAGGGAGAAGCAGGCTCCCCGCTGGGCAAGGAACCCGACATGGGGCTCGATCCCAGGACCCTGGGATCATGACCGAGCCGAAGGCAGACGCCCAACGACTGAGCGAACTGCCACTTTAGAGGATTCTCTCAGTACTGCTGAAACGCTGGTTCTGCTCTGCTTTCACCACTGCTGGTGTTTGTGGGAAATAATGGGGATGGGGGCGCTGGGACACAGGAGGAGTCGGCTGACTGACTTTAGGGCGGCAGCCCCCCTTGGGACCTCGGTGATTCCTTACCGCGCTTGAAATCAGGTCTGGGACAGTAAAGCTTTGGGATCTCAGAGAAATCACAAAACCCATCCCAAAGGGAGGGAAGGCAGCCGCTGCTCAGCCCGAGAAGCTCTGGGTCCTGCTCCAGGTAAGCGAAGGAAACAAGGTAAACTCTCATAAAAATCCGTCTTATTAGAACAAATCTGTTTCCACTGGCCCAAACACTAAGAAGACATTCACGCGCGAAGAAGCTGAAACCAGCTTACCTTTCTGTGTTCAAAAGCATGTTCGTTTATAAAAACCTGTTTAGAGAGAAAATTCACATACCACACAATTCACCCATTTAAAGTGCACAAGTCAGTAGCTTTTAGTAGTATTCACACCTTCACCATGATCAGTTTTAGAACAAACTCATCATGCCTTTCAGAAACCCCACCCTCATTTCTGGGTCACTCTCCATTTCTCCCAACCTAACAGCCTAGGAAACTGCTAATCTACTTTACATATGCAGAGTTTTGCCTGCCTGCCTTCCTCTTTCTTTCTTCTTTCTTTCTTTCTTCTTCCTTTTTCTTTTCTTCTTTCTTTTCTTTCTTTCTTTTTCTTCTTCTTCTCTTCTTTCTTTCTTCTCCTTCCTTCCTCTTTTTCTTTCTTTCTTTCTTTCTTCTTTCTTCTTTCTTTCTTTCTTCTTTCTTTCAATCTTCTTTCTTTTTTGGATATTTCATATAAATGGAATCATTTATCATGGTTTTTGTGACTGGTTTCTTTCACTTAGCATAATGATTTCAAGGTTGAGATGCATCAGTGACCTGAGTGTAAAAACCCAAGTTTACAACTTTTGAAGGAAACACAGGAGAATATTTTCCTTTCATCTTTGGGGTAAGCAAACATTCCTGAATTAAGATACACAATCAGTTACACACAAGCAAAAAATTAATAAATTACAATTTATCAAAACCCTCGGTTCTTCACAAGACACCATTATGAAAATAAATAGGCAATCCACAGAGTGGGAGAAAGTGTTCTCCATGC